AAAAAAAATAATAAAAATTGCACAAGCTATTGCCCACCCAAAAAGATACGCACAACCGTAGGGTGAGAAAAAATTGTCATGCCCCAGAAAATTGCCCAACACCCCCTCCACCTCCCCCTCCCTCCTCGTCAAAAAATAATCGTCCGTCCCTTAGTGAGAATCGTAGTCAATTCGTGAATCTCTAGAGTCACGTTTTTCCCGCTTCATTCATACAGGCGTGCCCGTGAATACACTGGCACACTGCCTCACATCACAACAATTGTTCATTTTAATTCCGAGCAGGTCTAGCCAATGAAATTCCTTGCGCAAAGTGACAACGAATATACCACCCGCAACAAGCCAAAGATGGTAGAAGAAAGTTGCGCTTGATAGTTGCTTTCTATAAATAAATAATAGTGATAGATCTGTTTTTGTAAACAATCCTACAAGAGCGTAAGAACATTAATGTCAATTCGCAAAGAAAGTATTTTCATTTGGCTTACTGGACAAGTTTAAAGAAAATGTTACTTGAATTTTATTCTTTTGTGACGATTTGCTGATGGAAATCGCTCTCTGGAAGTCGTCTGCTCTGTGGAAATCGTCTTTCTTTGGAAGTTGTTGGCTAATTAAGCTGAATGATCACGGTTCGGGGTGTGTTTAAAACGCCCAGCAGAAGTAGTTAAAGGAGAAGCTTATATCAAGCGCGAGAGCTAAGAGGGGAGAAAATTTGAAGGTTTTCAGAAGTTCTTCTAAAAGAAATGGCGGCGAAAGGCAATTGAAGCTTCATCAGCTAGCTTGATAGTTTTGTATGACGAAAGCTCTGGTGCTAAGGATATCTAGTAATGCTTTAGCTGTAGGAGATTTTTGAAGAAGACGCAAACAAAACGAATCACAAAGGAACGGCTATAAATAGTGTCTAACCCCCATATAGTGTTTGCCCTCGTACAGAGGAGCGTCTTGTATACGTATTGAGATCGTTTGCATAAAACTATATCAAGAAATGTCTAAAACAGTTCGATTTGCGGGCCAAACAACTGGAGATTACGCCGAAGCTGTAGCAACTGAGATACTGCAAGAAAGACAACAGCGCAAATTCAGAAATGAGAAAACTGGAAAAGGGAAAGGCAAAAAGCGAAGACGCAGAGGTCCTGAACCAGTAGCTGTAAATAGTTCAAGATTTGCTGGAGTAAACAAAGGGTTACTGGCCGAATTCATAATTTTTTTACTGCTTCAAGGATTTGACTTATTTAGTAACAGTTGGGTCTTAAACGAGTCACTCGGAATTCTTAGCAGAGTGGAAGAGTATGAAAACTACCCCAATGTTTCGGCCATAAACAATTCCGTTCCGAGTTTGTGCGTGAGGGTGCAGTGGTCCAAAGAGGAGATTACCAAACAGGTGGATCATTTCTCGTCTGTGATATACGTTTACTGTTTCTTTCTCGCCCTTTCATCGTGCATCTTTACCTTACATCTACTGGCTTGGTTATACACGCTTCAGCTTTCACTCAGAAGTCGACGATTTAACGCGAACACCCAAGAGGCTCTGATCAAAATGAAGGTGTACTTTCTTATCGCTGCCAGTATCCTGCAGGACATTCCACTGTCTGCGATCTCTGCAGAACTCTTCTCTTTGCAACAAGGCCAGGAGGGCTTGGTGTGTTGGTATTGTAAAGTGTCCGGTCTTTGCAAGGAACAGGAACAGCTTGCAAGTAGGTTAAGTCGAAGCACAACCGCTGTGTGGCTGAATTTCGCTGCTATCGGTCTCACGTCCCTTTGGAAAGGCATCTCGAGCTTTTACAGGTGGAGTCGAGTTGACGCTTGTGAAGCGTTCTATTTCAGAGCATGTACAGCGGTGTTTGCTGGCTTTCTGTACTCCATCGTCATACTGACCCCCGCCATGACAGTGCTGAGGTACCGTTACTTCGTGAGGCCGGGTGTAACTGGTGGATTGCTGAAAGACGCCATTGATCGAGTTTACGTCATCGGTGCCATATTCTGGGTTTTGGTTCTCCTGGTCATCTTTTGTTGTCCCTTGTTGAATCTTATCAGAGTAGCCCAGTAACTATGGAGGCATATCCACGACAAAATTCAATTCTCGGACATCGATCCAAGCGAAATGGCATCAAGCTAATTCTGCGAACAGTCATAACGCAGATAGGCATAACGCTAAGAGTCATAACGCAGAAAGGCATAGCGCGAATAGGCATAACGAAAAAAGGCATAACGCGAAAAGGCAAAAGGCAAAGACGCATAACCTAAGTAGGCATAACACAAAAGCCATAACGCAAAGAGACAAAGTTAGTAGTCATAACGCAAGTAGGTATAACGCAAGTAAGCATAGATTACCTCTATAAATAACAAGCAACAGAGGTTTAAAGTTTTCAGGTTACAGTACACAAGAAATGATTATTCGCGAAATCTGTCTAAGTGAAACAAAATAAATAAATTATTGATTAATGAATAGGAATTTCCAGTGGCACATCCTAGGGAGAGGCCACTCACCCACTGTTTCCAGATCGCATTGGAATTTAGAAGTGTTGGTTCACGTTTCCGTTAATTATTGATTATTTTGAAATAGAAACTACCCTCCATGCATTTTTAGAATCTGATTGGCTCTCTCATCGTTTTCTCTTTAATAAATAGATTCCATGTTACTGTGCGTCTGTTCAGTAATAGATCGATGTAGTAGGAACAAAAAAGTGGCACACGAGGCGATAACCGAGTGTGTCACTGATGTTCTTACAACATTTTGACGTCTTCTGTGATCTATTACTGAACAGACGCACGGCAACTTGAAATCTATTTGTTTTATAAGATAAAGAAACCAAAACATGTTGATGATGTACACGTCTGTCCTCCAATAAATCATAAGTAAGAACCAATCAAAACGTGAGAATTATTTAACTTATTATATAATCGAGGATAAACGACGATCTCACAATCACTGCTCTTGAAAAAGAAAATTAATCTTGGTTTTAAACCTTTAAAGTACACAAAATTGTATGTATTGTGTTGTAATCCCTTTAAGTGTCAACTAAAACAATTACGCTACTCGCCTTCGTTTTCTATGAGCGGAAGTCAATTCGCTACGGTTCGTTGATTATTCTCTCACGTAAAACACTGAGAAAATTACTTCGCTTTGATTGGCGGAGAACAGGCCGATTTATTGTGGTTTTTTTCCAACTGGGAGAGCTTGGGAGGATGAGAGCATCCTCTTATGAGGTACTGTATGAATGCAAGTGCAATTAGTAAAAGGCATCTCAAAATTCTCTCATTCTGCAACCCTTTAGGCGAATGTAATTTAAAATAATTTAACTCAATCTAACTTCTCATTTATAACATGACTTTAGAAATTACGAATGTGCGCGCATTAATTTGCATTGCAGTGCAAATGAAAACTTCACCATAAATCGGCCTGTTCTCAGCCAGTCAAAGCGAAGTAATTTTCTCAGTCATATGATATGCGCAATAAAATATGTACACGATTTTGAGTGCAATCTTCGTGTGACCTCCAGTAATCTTCGGATGGCTTCGGAACTTTTTGGAAGAATTTTGGTGATCTTCGAAAGTGTTCAAAACGCGCACGCGTCTAGTTATCTTCGGCTGTCTTGGGGAAACCTCGGACGTGTTTCGATCATCTTCGAAATGGTCGATAGCCTTTAGCTTACAGTGGCCTCGTACTAACTTTGGAAATCGTTGCAATTTGTGTACCAAAATTTTGTACTGCATGCATATGCTGTTACACGTTTTGCCCTGGTGTAACACATAAAATGCACTGCTCTTAGCCAATCAGAATCGAGTACCTTTTTCATGTGCTTTATTATATCTAAAAATCTTTTAAGTGATCCAAGTCTAGTTAAAAGACCCGGCTCTCCTCATTGATTTGTCGTTATGGTTTTGGCCAGTTAGAGAGTACATGTAAGACACATCCGGACGAATAAACGTATACCTTCGAATTTTAAGGAAACACGCGAATAGTGCGTGCAGATGAGCGATTCGGAAAATGCAGAAAAATCCGAGCAAGTACATGTAGCTGAAGAAGCGTTTCATTACCATGAAGGAGAAATCGATGTAAAACGACTGAAAAAACGTGACGGAAAGAAAGGAGCTTTATCAACCAACAAATGGATATTCTGTCCGTGCGCAGACTAAATTGACACGTTTGCCTCGTTCGTGTGTGTCTTCCACAAAAGAATGAGCTGTATCGCAGGCTCAGATGCAATAAGAGCTTATCCAGTTCTAAAATTCAGTTTTGGCAAAAACTAAGCCAACAGTAATTGAGATGATGTCGTTACATTATTGGTGATTAAGACTGAAAGCCATATCAATATACTCAATTCTGAGACATGAAAAATAAGTTTATATTAAAGTGACTTGTCCGGCCGTTCAACTCTGTCCACTTTCCAGCTCCATTAAATGAGGCCTTCAAAGTTAAAAGATCTTCTCTAGAAGCAGACGAAACGTCTATTTGTGAAAAAACCTTCATGAAAGAAAGACAGACATAGAACATATAAACAACTACAGTCTGTTTGTCATGTAACAAACGCTCTTCTCGATATTAGCGACATACATTTGTGAGGAAGGAAAGTTAATTTGCAGCTCAGTGCATGGAGGGTTTGGGCTTAGATAAGATTCCACAGCAGGTAAACGAATTGAAGATGTTAAATTATGAAGAAATCCCGTTGCTGGTGCCGCATGAATTATATATAATGTATATTTCATAATTTCAATTAGTATATGATTCGAACTACACACTGGTTTGAATCTACAGGTACTCGTCCCTGCACAATAAGCGTACCTCTGGATTATCACTGAGTTCCTTCTCTAAGAAATGATTTCGAGAAAGTGTTGTTAAGGTACGTATGTTCACCATTTATTTTTTTATCGTATTAATATTAGTATTAGTATAGTTTTTTAGCAGTGTCCCCTAATTAGCATGGTGTATTATTTCCAGGCTATAAGGTTTTTGACACTTTAATAAAGTTCTCACTCACTCACTCACTCAGTCACTCACATTTGATGTATTATCATGTCATTACCTTCATATTTAAGAAACATATTTTGGAATCATAAGCTCGTAAAATTTTCGCACTTGCATTTAACACTAGAAACTACTTTTTCCGTCGTATAATGTGAGCTTTGTCAATGATACCTCAAATCAACTTTCGCCTAATTATCGTGATAAAACTTTAACACAAAATATACCGCTGGCAAAATGCAGACTTAAATCAAATAGGGTTTGAAAACAACTCTACGGCGACAATTTGGGATACAAAGAAAGTTTGATTTCTGGCCATGAAGTAAAGCTGAAAGCAACTAACAAGAAATCAACGTTCATGTGTAGTTTACCTCCAAAACGAGGGTTGAGTAGAATTAATTCTAAAGTCACCTTTGCCTTATGCCTTCCGATAGTTACATATAAGTATAAAAATTCGAAGCAGAATAAAGCAGAATAACTTATACATGTGATGGTCAACAACTGCTATGAGGAATATTTTGTCTTAATAAATGTGAATCAGGTAATACCAGAAACTACGAAGTTAATTCACAAAAGCAAAAACGTTCTCTAAATTGTCGACTTGCCGACGAAAAAACTCATTTAATACCTTTGTGAGCACTTGGATATTCGGTAAAAGAATGTTACAAATTTTTAATTACTCTTGGACAAACATGGCAAGAATTTTGGCACGCAAAGAATATATTAAAAGTTTCATAATATCGAGCACACAATATTCGTTGAAACCAAACGTTGTCAACTTTCATTGTTTTCGTTCGGGGGCGGTTAATAATTTATAATTTATTCAGTTAAAAGAATGCTTGTGGTAGACTTGCATTCTGTTTTTGACATTTGTTTGCTGCCGTATGTACAGTTGTAAAGATAAATATCAACCGAAAAACATCTCCAATACTTAGCCATTTTTCTGTCAAGGCTTTTAATTTGCGTTCCTTGGATTTAAACATAATCGTCCCCAATAAATCCGAAAGAACAAGACACTTCAAACAGGATGACAGCAGGTGGCTTGAAAAAGAACCATAAATTGTGGTTTTGTCGTTTCCAGCTGTATTCTTCATCTCATACTTGGTGTTCATTAGCTCCAACGAGAAACATATTAATTTGACGTTAAAAATCACGAAAAGAAACGAGTTATTGGAAACGTTACCGTTGCATAAATTCAGTGGGAAAAAAAAGTTAAAAAAAAGAAAAACCGGTCAAATAAATCAAAGGAACGCGACTTGGCTCAAAACAAACGTTTCTGATTTTATATTTATTTTTTATGTATGTGCATTTTAATAGGCTTCAACAAAAGGTAAATCGAAATGCTTTAACGCATGTATTGTGATGCCGAAGGTGACACGCAGTAACATGTAACAACTTAGTAAGGGAAAAAGTAGTCTTGGACTTGGAAAGGCGAATTTCGGATGACTGGTTTCCTTCACTGAGACTGCCAACTGGCTATTAAATGCTCAAAACAAATGCCAATCACTTCTCCTCCCGTTTATTAGAACTTAAGAAAACCTCTAGATACCAAATAAAAAAATCAATTTATTAATCTACGATAGCTTGAAGCAAAATTATAGGCAATGATAATAACGAAAAGTAGTAGCTTCTTTGAAAACGTTTCTTAGAATAAAAACTGCTATTGAGCTAGTCTTATTAAGCGAAGTAATGGACAGCAACATACAGTCAAAATCCCTACGGACCAGAACAGTGCTCCTATAATAAACAACTTATCTACTAAATCAGAGATAAATCCTGCTGTCACACCCGGAAGGGTGAAATACCGATACTTCAGAATTGTCATAGCTGGAGTCATGATGATACAAGCGTATAGGAACCCTGCAAACAAAGATGTCGTCGCACGAATTATGAAGACATCGCACTGATCTACTCGACTCCATCTGAAAAACGACGAGATTGCTTTCCACAGTGTTGTTAAGCATATTGCTACGATAAGCAAACTCAAGGCTTGGGAACTCGGAGCTAAAAGTGTTTCAAGGTAATCTACCGACGTGCACTTTGGGTCCATTGAGCATTGCCAACATATAAGTCCATTTGTTCCTCTTCTCAGAAGATAAAGCTCAATGCCAATGGTGGAACAAGGAATATCCTGCACGAAGTTTGCCGCCAGTGTGAACGCAATCTTGCCCTTAACTAATAACGCCCAGTTCTCTTGCAAAAAGTCGGCTTCCATTAGTGAAAATGCAATAGTTATCACCCATAGCAAAAAGTGGAGACAGAAAATGATTGTCGCTATAATTGTAAAGGCAAAGTAAATCTCTAAGGTTTGTTCATATTGTTCAAACAGTTCTATGGTTTTCTTCGGCTTAAAAGCGGAACTAGAACAGAAACCCAGCGGACTAACTGTTAGGTTTATGCCTCCTCTGGGTTGTGTGCCGTTTGAGACGAGAAGAGACGCACTATAGTCGTCATAAATATCCAACGACTTTGATGATTCAAAATAGACGCCGTAGTTGCAATAAATGTCAAAGCCTTGCAGAGCAAGAAAAATGAAAAACTCCACTAATATTCCGTAGTTGAATCCACCTGGCACGGCATTTTGATCTTTCTTAGCAGCTTTTCTGGCCATTATGAAACAAACTGTCGTTATGTGAAGCTACTTGATGCAATGGACTAAGTGCAGGGTTATATGCTTTGCGGAATGTTAGATGCAACCACCTCCCCAAAATTGACAACGCTTTGTTTTCGACATAAATTATTAATAACCGTAGGCTGCGTGCGCTATTTTCCAGTAGAAAGATTGTTTTCTAACTGTGGATTAGCGGAGTATTTGTTGAGCTGCTTTCAACAGAGTCCAACAGCGATTCCTGCACCACTTATCGGCATTTTTCACTCCAGAGCAGTTTGTGAAGTTCGACTTTCAAAGCTGTTGGAGTTGATAGGTTTGGCAATCCGTCACAAAGACGTTAAATGCGACAATCATATGCATCAGCTTCATCGTAAGAAAGCGTCATAATTATGTTTGTAAGAATTACAGCTAGCTCATACACGTGTTGTAGATTTAAATTGAAGACTTATTTGTAGTAGTGAGTTTAGATGTTTCAACAAGAGAATGCTGCTTCTGTTCAACCTATCAAACAAGAATGAATTTCCGAACTATTTGTTCCAAATACGTTTTAATAGTCAAATCATTGAGGCGTAATACTAGTAAATAGGACAGTCATTGCTCCGAACATGAACGTGGAATAAGAGATATAAAAAGTGTCAATATATTCCTTGTACTAAGAGTAGAATAGCATATACTTTTTGAGAGCGCCTCTCACCTTAACGCGTATTATTTCGCTAGAATGTCATTCTATAGCCTACCAAACAATATTATGATCGATGTGCTGTAAGGCTGGTACCAGTTCGAAATACAGGTGTTTTGTTTAAGTTAGCTTTCTAATGACAGGCTTGCGGCTTGGAGACAATTCAAGTTAAAACAGAATTTTAAAAATGATTAATGTTTGTTGGGAAGTTTAGCCAACTTGAAAATACTACTTCAAGACATGATGTGATTTGAAACTGATTCTGTTGCTAAACCCAAATCTGCGTTCTTTTAACAAGCTTCACTTCCTATTTAAATTCGTTTAAAATGCGTTTGTTTAGTCAAAGTTTTGGTTACATATTTTTATTTGGCTTTTCCCCAGTAGCTAAATGGAATCATTCAGCGATATTTACATAAATGCCTTCCTAACTCCTGACTACACATGATTACCTCTTAAACTTCCCATTTTTGTTCTTCGGCCAGCATTACCTCTTTATACCCAGCAGCGTCTGTCTCATTTGTGATATTTTCGTTTGTTCTCCTGGTTTGTTAAAATTGCATTTTTGCTTTCTTGTACTCCCTCCGTTTATTTGCCTAATTAAGCATTCAGATTTTTTGATATCGTCAAATTGTTGCTGTCGTGATATTGTAGATCCATCACAGATTCACATTTTTTTTCCCGCTTATGTATATTTCAGAGTGTTAAGCCACCATGGCTGACGAAGACGGAAACGCCGATAACCTTGAAAATCCAGCAAAGGCTGAAACCCTCCCAAAGAAACTTCTCGAACAAGTAGCTTCCATAACAGACAAGATTAAGAAAAAGAAAGTGCACTTAGAGGAGGTCGCAGAAAAATATCACAATGAAGCTAGACATCTGCAGGGAATATCATCGAAACTCAGCGAACTCAAAGGATCGTTTAATGAAGGCGAGAAGATAAAGGCTGAATTTGAGGAATATTGCGAATTGATTAACTTCAGATGCCTGGATGTCACTGAGAAGGTTGTGAAACTGGACGACATCTTAGATGAAGTAAGATTAGAGGAGGAAAAGGCTCCTCGGTTTACGGAGCTAGCTCAAGGCATAGAAACTGCATCGCTTTCAACCGGCGAAGGTCGTAAAGAGTTCCTGGATTTGAAGCAAGAAGTTGACGATTGGCTTGATGCTGTTCGCCGCAAGTTTAGAGAGGGAAAGAAGAGGAAGTTGAGCCTCTATTCCAAAGGTAATGTTGAGGACGTTACTCAGTCGTTAAATGCCTGGAGGAAAGCTTCAGAAGTTGCAAGAGAATACAGTCGTAAATTGGTTTTGCTGAAGAGAGATACGGATTCTAACGAACAAGACATGAGAAGAGAAATAGAAAGGATGGAAGCTGAGATCGGAACTCTCAAAGAACATAATAAGACATTAGATGACGAGATTTCCCTTCTGAGGGGGAAAATATTGGAAACAGAACAGACGATTCTTGAAACTCAGACGTTGCATGATGACGTTACTGATGATCTAAGAGAGCAGATCAAAGACCTCCGTCAGCAGTTAAATGACGAAAAAGATCGTAACAAGGCTCAGGTCGATGAAATAGAGAGGAAGGAAACTGGAATTGTGGCTCTCCGTGAACATAACAAGGAACTGGATGATGCCATAACCCTAATGAAGAGTAAACTTTCAGAAGCGGAACAGACAATTCTTCAAAATCGAACTTTCCACGATGAAATAGCAGAAGATCTAAGAGAGAAGCTGAAAGATCTCCGTCAGGAGCTGAATGAAGAGAACAGTGCTAAGTTTGAAATGGAGATGGAATCTGATCGAATCAAGGGAAGACTGCAAGACCTGGAATCGCGAGAAGAACTTAATCAAAGGAAGATTGAGATGCTCCAGGAGCGTAATAAACTCCTAGAAGAGGACGTGGAATCCTTAAGAGAGCGACTCTTGGTTGGAGAACAAGGGAAAAATGATGCAGAAGCGCTGCTGTTTGAAATACAAAAGGAATTGCAGGTTCTTGACGATGCAAAAGACGACGAAGATGCGGGAGAGGATAACGCAAACGAATTTAAGCGGGTTAACCGCCTCGTGCAGACGCTGAAGAACAAGCTAGAGGAAAATCAAGGGTATATAGAAAACTTAGAAAGCGAAATCAAAGGGGAAAGAGATCGCAACAATGAAAACACCAGTGAGATAGAAAAGCTCTTGCGAAAAATCGAGGTTGAAGAAAAAGGGAAAGAGGAGCAAGGACAGCTGATTGACACAATCCGGAATTTGCTGGACGAAAATGAAAAGTTGGCTGCTGACCTCGAATCCCAAAACAAAGCTCTGAATGAAGATATCGCAGAAGAAAGAGAAAGGGTCATGGAGTTGCGAGAGAGAGTCGGGGAGCTCCAGCAAACTATCAGCGGCGAGAAGAGAGCCAACTTCGACATGGAAATGGAGGTTTCAAGACTCAAGAATAAAATAGAGGACGAGGAATCCAAGAATGAACTCGGCCTGAAAAGAATTGAACTTCTTCAAAAGGAAATCACCACGTTATTGGATACCATCAAGGAAAAGGTGGAAACGATCGAGGAACTGCGTTCTCAACTTTACGATTATGAAGAACTAAAAGTCAAACTTAGGGCTGAAAGACAAAGAAACGAAGACAATGAACAGAGTATCATGGAGCTACAAAACAGAATGGTTCAGAATGAGCACACCCTAGAGGAAAAAGAGGTAGAGATAAGATATATCAAAGCTGAGTTAAAAAACACCAAGGAGAAACTGGAGAATGTGGAGAAAGAACTAGAGTGGATCAAGGAGAATAATGACTTATTGTCAGGCATCCTTCAAGAAAAAGACAGGGGCTTGCAGGAGAAGGAAGAAAGACTTAAACAAGCGCTGGTAAACCTCAACTCGGAACGCTCAGTTCAAAATGAGTATTCGATGAAATGCGAAATGTTGGAAAAGAAGATTTACCTGACTGAATCAGAAAACAAAGAAATAACAAAAGTAGCTGAACTTGCTGAGAGCGAATTGCAAAAGGAAAGGGAGAAAAGTGGTAACCAAGATAGTGAGATACTTAAATTAAAAGCCCAAATAGAAGAAGAACGCAAAAAGAACGAGGACAGCCAACGAGTTATTTATGAACTCGAGGAGCAGCTTTCAGATGCCGATGCTTTAAATCAGTATAACCAGGGGATCAAGTCAAGTTCTATTGAGAACATAATGGAGGCAGAAAAGCAAAACGAGCAGCTTCTTAACATCATTGAAGAGTTAAAACAGAACGTTAACGAAAAGGAACTTGGCATCGAAGAACTAGTTGAGAGCTACGCCGTTGAGGAACAGAGGCTCAGGGACGAGATATTGCAGCTTCAAGGTCAGCTAGGTTTGTCCAAAATGGACAGTCAGACAAAATCGGAGATTATTAAGTATCTTAAAGGAGAAATTGAAAGAATGCGAAATGTGATGAGGATCAAAGAGTCAGTTCTTGGGATTGAAGGAGAACCAAGTGAATCAGGTGAGAAGGCGGCCAGATATGTTCAAGAACTTGAACAAAGGCTGGGAACAGCTGGATTACCCGGACATTTTGAACATTTTGACGCCGACGAAGAACTAGAAGAACGAGAAGCTCAAGTTCAGGAACTTTTGGAAATCTTGGAAAGCGAAAAGGAGAGAAATATAGTATACGAGGAGATGATTCAACAATTAGAAGAAATGGTGAACCTAAATGCTGAAATAAAGGACGCGGACGAATCAGACCAAGGACGAACGGAGGAAGCAAATGAGGCCCGAAAGGTACTTTATTCTAAGAAGGAACAATACAAAGACAGGAAACGAAAGTACATCCAAGATGAGATTGTCAGGTTGGAAGATGTCGTGGAAGATCTTCGTGGCAGATTAAGAGCTGAGCAAAGGCATGTCCAAGATCGGGACAAACTTATCTCTAAGTTAAACGAAGCCAGCAACAGAGACCTTAAAAGAAACGAAGAACTTACAGCACAGCTACATGCTATGAAAGAAAAGGCCATGCAGCAACTACAACATTCCGAAGAGATGGCAAAGAAGGTTGAAGATGGGCAGAAACTCATTCGAGATTTAGAAGTACAAGTGGATAAGGAGAAACTACGGGCTCAAACTATTGAAGGGGTGCTGTCATCACAGAAGGGACAATCTAGTGAAAAGAAGGAGGTTAGCAAGGACCTGAAGCGCAGAGTCGAGGAATACCAGAAAACTGTCAACGACATTAAGGGAAAAGTGGACAAGATAAATCGTCATTTACACTGCATGTCACCTGGCTCACACGAAACGCACCGCATGGGTTCCCCTGATGCTGCAGTAAAAAGAATCAACGAGCGGCTTGCCTCACACAGTTCTTTTATCAGAGAACTCAAAGCCAGTGTAAGCACCGTTGAGGAAACAAGCAAGAATATCCGAGCTGAGCTGAAGACTCAAGCGGACAAAAATAGCAAACAAGACAAGAAAATTGCAGATTTGCTAGGCAAATCGACAGAGTACGACAATCTCGTGGAGGAGATGAAACAAGAACTTGGCGAAATAAGGAAGAGGTACCAGGAATTAAGCGGCGAACTTGGACCGGAAGAAGAAGTGGGCGATTCAGCTGATGGCAGACCGGAAAGTCCTACGAAGATAGTACGAAGCATGCCTGAGCATGAACTAAGCAAGCAGTTGTCAAACTTCGAAGAACTGTTGGAGACCATATTTTCGGAAGAAGCCCGAAGGATTGAGGAATTACAAGACAAGTTAGATGACGTGGTCAAGAAAAACGTCGAGTTTTCGTCAATTCTGTACGAGATTAGAAATAATCTTGAAGACGACAGGGCAAAGCGAGGACCTTGGGAAGTCGAAAGAGATGACTTGAAAGCGACAGTGGCAAAGAACGAAGTCAAGATTGATCATTTAGTGACCAATTTACAACAAGAGGAAATGACAAAAGGAAGGCTTGAAGATAAGATAAAACTACTGGAGGAAGAACTTAGGGAGAAGGAGAAGATAGTAGCAGCATCACAAGTGGATATTCGTGAAGCAGAAGGAACAATTCACAGGCTCGAAGCAGACTTGGCGGAAGAAAAAGAACGCAATTTTGACTTACAAGAGCGCGTGATAAAAGAAATGGAAGATAATCTTCGGGAAAGCAAAACTAAGCTGGACGAAATTCGAATACAAGCAGACCAAGAGGTACGAAAGACGGTCGATATATCTGCTGCAGAAAAGTCACAGAAGGAAATACGAATCAAGGAATTGGAAAATGAGATGCTGAAGCAAACTGCTCTCCTCGACGAGTTGAAGTCTTATCTGGAAAAGGAACAGAATCACGTGTTTGAATTGACTGAACGCTTAGAGATGGAGCGCAATCACGCTGCCATGAAAGATACCATGATTAAGAACATTACGGAGAAGTTGAAAAGGGAGGGAGAACGTAGCGAAGAACTGCGCAAACTCATCGAAGAGGCAGAAGATAGAACGCTTCGAATCAGTGAAGCCCTCACTAACGAACAAGTTCGGGGAGTTGAGCAAGAGGAACAGATGAAACATTTGCGTGACATAATAAATGAAGAACAAAATAGATTATGCGAGACGAGAGATGTTCTGGAAGAAGAAATGCAGTTAACCAAGCAGCTGAAAGAGAAGTTGTCTTTTGAGCAGCTAATGAAATCAGAATTCGAACGCGAACTTGACAAGACGAAAGCAAAGCTTTCTGAGGAGCAGGAGGCAAAGGAAAATCTCCAGGAATTGCTTTGCAGGGACAAGAATGTGGTGCTGGAGACGGAGAACAAGTTGAGAGAGCAATTTGATGACGTCAAACAGAAGGAGCAACTCATGGATGAACTTAGATCCGATTTGGATACAGAGCGAAAGTGTTATAAGATTCTGTCCGAACGTCTGCAGTCTGAGCAAAGCCGAATAGTTGAATTACAGATGAAACTCAAAGAAAGCGAATCTATTATTAACTCCGACAAAGAAATGTTGGATAGTTTGAGAGACAATTGCTTGAAAGGCGAAGAAAAACAGTTCGAGGTCCTGGAGAAACTGGAGCGAGCTGAGAGACTGAACAAAGAGAAAGACGAAGAGATAAATGCATTGATCAACGAGCTAGCAGCTGAGAAGATACGAGTAGAGGAGCTTTTGGCCAACCTGGAAAGTGAGAAGTTTTCAAAGGCGCAAATGGAAGAAAGAATTAAAGAACTAGAAGAAACCACCGCGAGGGATGAACTTCTATTTCAGGAACTCCGAAGTAGAATCGATGCGGAGGTGGTGAAGAACCGTGAGATTGCAGAACAACACGATCAAGAGAAAATCACTGGACAGATTTTTCAGGAGAAAGTCCGGGATCTAGAAGCACAAGTTGCTCAAGACAACGAGATTTTTGAAGAACTCAAAAGAACAATCGAGATAGAAAGAGAGCAAAGCCGAAAGCTCGATGAATTACTTCGCGAGGAGAGAAATGAGATTGTACGACGTGACAATGTTCTGACCGAGCTGGAGGGGCAGCTTTATACTGAACGCATAGCTAAGGATGAAATAAAGAGTCAGTTAGAATCAGAGAAGCAAAGCAGCTTCGATCTACACGAGCAGCTACGAACCAGTCGTGAGGAAGAGTATAACAGAAAGGAAGTAGAAAGAAAACTCGCCGAGGAAATGAAGTATGAAGTCGAAGAGAAGCTTGCAATCCAGGCAAGGAAGGCGGAAGAACTTGAATCCATGTTAGAAGCGGAAAAGTTGAACGTCCTTGAGAAGGACACCGCAAGACAAGATTTGCAAAGATCCGTGGAAAAAAGGGATTTGTGGCTTGCACAAATGGCTGAAGAACTCACAAAAGACATGGAAGACAGCCAAAGTTCTACCGACGAAGAAAAGGAAATACGTGATCAGGATGAGAATTACAACTTGGGAGGACGTCGCGCCTGGGCCCAAGAGAGCGATGATCTTCCAGCCGTGTTAAGTCCGTATGATGACCTTCTAAACAAAATATTAGCTGGACGGAATGTGAAAAGGAATGTTAAACTCAAGTCAAAAGAACGGAAAAGGCGACTCGCTGAAAGAGAAAAACTGTTGGAGGACACAAGTAGAATGTATGAAGATGAGAAGAAATTAAAAGAAGAAAGACTTGCAGAACTTCAGGCCACCGAGGACAGGATGAGAGTTTTTGAGAGCGAAAGGGACAATTACCGAAAAGATTTTGATAAGCTCCAAGAAGATCTGGACAGCGAGAGAAATCGAAGTCACTCGTTTGAAGTTTTGCTGGCAGAGCAACAGAGAGCAAATCAGGATCAAAATGAGCTCGTTAAATCACTGGAAAATAAAGTTGGCGAGGGATTCAAGCGTCTGCATGCTGCTACGGAGCAATGCGAAGAACAGATGAGAGAGAATCGGGCAAGAAAGGAAGAAAATATCAAACTGCGAGACCTATGTGAAGTGCAAGAAGAGAAAATAGAAGAACTTAATAAGGAACTTAAAGCCATTGAAATACTTTACAAAGAAAAGGAGAGCTTTGCTCGAGATACCTCTGATCAGGTGAACGAGCTCAGGAGACAGTTAGATGAAGTAGATATTCTTTTGAAAGAGGAAAAACGAAAAGTAGAGAAGACGAGTGGGGATGATAGTACTGACGCAAGTCCAGATCGTTGTGGAAGAATGTCAGCAGATAAGGACTCGAAAGAGGTTTTAAGCGACTTACGAGAGGAGGTAGACAACGTAAAGAAAATCATCAATTACAAGTTAACTGAACTGAATAGCCTTCGTCAACAGTTAAGTGGGAGAGGAGAAAGTCAAGGCCAACAGCTATCTCTTAAGAAGATGCAACACAGGGCGGAAAAGGCAGAAACTCAGCTTAAAAAGCTTCAATCTTCCTACCAGCTTCTTCTGACAGACGTCGAGATGAAGACGTTTTTAGTAGAGGAAGCTCACACCGAAGCTAATAACTTGAGAAGTGCTCTGAATGAAAAAGGGAAGATCATTATAGAGTTGACAGAAAAGGCCAAGTCACCTAAACAAACCACAGTTTTCAGGGATGAGAGCGAAATCCAAAGACTGAGTACATTATTAATGCAAAAAGAAAAGCTGATTCAAGATCTTAATAATGAATACAAATCGAAGCTCTCCAAGAAAGACGAAAAGCAAAGAGAGTTACAAGTATCTATTCAGATTATGAAGTCTGTCTACCAAGGACTGAAGGCGGAGAAGGAAAGAGAAGACGCGGCGAAGAATGCCGAGAAAGCGAGGAAAAGCAAGGAAGACATTAATTCAGCGTTTGAGATGGTACGTGACCTTCAGCAGCAAATAGATTCCCTTGAAGAAGAAATTACTGGTCATCAGCAGATGGCAAAGAGCTTGAAAGAGGACGACAAACGCGCCAAACTACCGAACGAAAACGAAAAGACTTATTTGAAGAGACGAAGTAGCCTGCGAGGCGTTGTTTCTTTGCAAATCGACGAGAAGGAAAAGAAATTGAAACGCCTCAAAATATTGCTGACTTCTATTGAAAACCGATATGGGAAGGAAATGGTGGAACTAAAGGAGAACGCATCAGGCACCGAAAACGAGTCTCTAGCCGGTGATAGCATAGAGAACGAAGGAACACTCAAAAAGTCTCAAGAAATCGTTTGTGAAAACACATTGCCTCTACCAGATTTGGTTGGAACGACAAACCAATCCGCGCTCAATGAAAGCAAGGGAACCAGCACAGAATCTGACTACATAGGCGATGACGTACCAACGTGTTATGACGCGAGCGTTCTCCTTCAGAAGAACCTGGAAGATAAGCAAAGTCGTTCGCAGTTAAGCAAGAAAAAGTTGTTATTTGGCTTTTTGATTCTTGTTGTCGTTGTACCTTTACTGGCGCTTGGTTTTGGATCAAAAAGGTCGGGTACTATGCTTGCGTCTGTCCTAACTCCAGTTGTCCTTCTGCTTTTCGCCTATCGGTTCAAGAAAACGGGACTTGGTATCTCTGGCCAAGATGCAAGTTTGAAGAAGAAGTTGACTGATAAGGAAGAGCAAGAGAAAGTGCTTCTTGGCAAAATCGAAGAAATGAAGATTCGTCAGGAGGGAGATGCAAGCCTTATTGAAGAGTTGAAAAGGCAGCTGGAAGAGGAGTTGGCCGATAAAGAAGTTAAACGGGTGGAAGTTGAAGAGATTATTGCGAGCAAGGAAGCGATGTCTAATAAACAAAGGGAATTAGAAGCAGAAGATTTTGAAGCCAAAATGAAGTTAGAGATCGAAAAAACGAAGCTTTCTGAGGCCGAAAAAATCAAAAGGGGATTTGAAGAATACAAACTGTTGAAAGAAGAAATTGATCACATGAAGAGGCAGCGGGAAAAAGACATGAATGACAGACAAGCCAAGATTGCAGAGCTCGAGAAGTTGGCCATTATTTCCGAAGAGAAGAGGGAGTATAGAATCAAAGCTATCAACATTTCCTTCTCCGCTATTCCTATTTGTATTGCGTTTTCGGTGGTGCTGTGTCAGTTTTTCGGCTATCACTTCTTGGTACCCTATCTGACAGTTTGCATTATAACGACCTTCGCTGCTAACGCATGGAGCACTAAAAGGAAAGTAGCTCAAATGTTAAGGGATGAGAGGCAAAACTTTGTAGAACAAAATGAGGAAATGGATGAGATGACGGAGCTCTTAGATAGACAGTTTGAAGTTGTCAAGTCGCAGAAGTCGGCAATTGATATGCTGGTGAAAGAAATTGAGAAGGAAAAACAAGAAAGGAAGGAAAAGCGAAATACACTGGCCAAGCTAATTTGGCAGCTCCAAGAGATGGAAGGAATGCAAAACATAATCTCCAAACAGGCTCCCAAAGGAAGGGAAGTTACAGAGCTTGAAGTCGCCGTGCGGAGCATAGCCGAGGAAAAGGCTCTAGCGAGAGCAAAGTTTTACAACAATATGATACGCACATTGAAAGAGATAAACGCTGATGAAGAAGACGACGATGAAATGACAGACGATCTATGTGGTGCAGTGCAGGAACTAGCCGGTTACGCCGAAGATCAACTTGAAGAACAGAAGAAGCGGGAGTTGGAAAAAGAAAAACCACAGCCTGTGCGGAAGAAGACACAAGTTCCATGGAAAGCAATTACTTTTACCGCTCTCAACATTGGAGCATTAGCAGCTTCCTTGGCCCTTCAGTCATATTTAATTACAGCGCTTGTAGCTCTGCAAGCTTTGATCTATGGTCTGCAACGAAGGGGAGGCTCAGTGGATCAACTCAAGGAGAAGCTTAGACGAGAAGCTTTTCGAAATCGATCACTGCAGCTGGAAATAGAGAAGATGAAGACATTACTGGAGACAGAGAAAACGTACAAGATGTCTGACGAATACGCGCTGGAAATCAAAGAGAGAAGGAAAACGAGGAAGTCAATAAAAACCAGGGGGTAAATTACCCAAAGCGATTACCTAAAATGCGATAACCGAGTTTGTCTCCAGACAATATTTCAGAATATAGAGCATAATGTGTGATAGAAGCGAGCTTACAATTACAAATGATGATTGAAATGTGGAGGTATGACCCAGGTAGGGAATGGTCACTGTTACCAGCCGATTAACGCGACATCGATAATTACCTTGATTATAGCTTACCACCCTATTTCATGTTTCTTTTTTTTTTTTTTTTTTTCTTGGAATTTGACGGTTTTAATATAAGGATATTCCTTGGAAGCGTAACCTGTTTTGTCTTGTCGGTGCTAAGCAACATTTGTTATTTACAACGGATTTTTCACAGTACAATACTGTTTACAAAATACGTGGTGCTACCTGCAATCCGACCTCTATATTCAAAAGCAAGTCACGACTCCGTCGTTATATTTGCATGTACGACAAGTTTTAAGGACGTTCGGGCGATAGATTTTTTTTAAATTTTTGCTGCAGTCAGATAATGAGTTACTCGTGTCAGAAATGCAAACAAATTGGGGGTCCTCGACTTTGGTTCAGAGATAAAGCGTGTGGAAAACTACCCTGATTTTGAAAAATTTGGGCACGTAATTCAGCATGGTCTACAGGTGTTTATAGTTGAAAAATATCGAAGGTGAGTCAACGGAGGCAAACGATCTTCGTCATATTTTGTAGAAGTGGGTCTGTTGCGTAAATAATTCCAAATATTGCCAACGTTTTCACAAAAGTTAACCCTTCAAGAGGCATTTGAAACCACAGCACAGATAAACGACGACTTTAAAAGAATGGAATTCGATGGTGCATTTCGCAAAAAATTCAAACTTCTAATCGATAGATTTTCTTCATTTTTTCGCTAAACGAGAAAATGATCCATCAAAAGAAAAATAGGGGTCACCGAACGTCCGAGATCGTAAAATCTAGGCAAAGCTATAGCAATGGCCATCTGCCCTATCATTGTTCATTTAATTACTTTGCGCGCTTCGATGCAGGACATGGCGTGTGAATTTGCGTGCGCAGTGAGGACGCGCAGAAACAATTTGCGCGAACGTCCTTAAAAACTGTCACATAGCGATTGTTTATAAATTAGAAGCGGGATTTTTCATCACTTATTTGATTAACGATTTTGAATTTTAAGTACATGTAGTTATTGCAATAAAGGGAATCTTGAATTTACTGCCATTCTGTCTCGTTTACATAAAATAAAATGAGGAAACGAGCGACATCATTTTTGTCCTTTACATGTGAACGACTATTTTCATTCTTTTTAATCACCAGTTCAAAATGCCGAAATTACGACTAAACGTTGTTGCATAGAATCTATATTAATCCTTTGTAAATGTTATATTTAAGCTTTGCAGAGATCGTCCCTTTCTTTATTGACATCTCTTTCAAAACATCCCCTGAGTCTAAGTTAATTCGTAAAAGCAATCTCAAAAGATGATCGAGTCGTCTCTTCATTACAGAACTGGCAAATGATACCCACCATGGCGTCCGATCGCTTGGCCCAAATTCAATATTCACTTTTTCTTTTTTAAATTTCGCCAGGCTTGTATGAAAGGAAAATTAATTAAAGCTCGCCATTGTATTGGTTCATCTGACCGGTATTGAAAAATGAAAGCGACATAAAATGATTTCCTAAACAAAAATTTCCGTCACTTTTGGTCGGAATTGTTAGATAAATCATTTCGTACTCCGCCTGAAAGAGTTTCCGGGGCATTTTTTGACAATCTGTTCCTCACTGACAAACAAAGCGACGTACTATTAACGCAAGGTACTGGGAATTACAAGCTGACGCTGCATGGAACTAGAAATGAAAAAATGGAAATGAAAATAAGACCGATATTTGACCCTTATTTACCTCGATGTAGTGAGCGGATAAACGTCGACATTTTAGGCCACAGTAAATACCGTACTCTATCTGTGCCATTCGTTGTACCGGAGAGGGGAATAATTATCACTAAAAGTCAATATTTATTACAGTTGACGACAGCTGCTCCAATAATGCTAATCAACAACAGCGGGGAACAATGCGATTTGTAATTGGATACCTCAGAGAGGAACGCAACTGAGCGAATTTATAACTACAGTTTATACTTCTCTACTGATACAGCAGATGGTTTTATTGTCCATGCTCTAAGGAAGTCGTCAAGTTATATATTGCTTCAAAACATTTCTCAGCTAGAATGAACGACGACGAGTTGTCTGTTTACCAAAACATGACCAGGAATGACAGCGTAGGGTCCATAATCTCAAATCCAAAATGTTTTTATCTTGACCCGCAAAACGACTTTGAACCTGGAGGAGTTCTTTACATCGAGTCCATGGTTACCACAGTGGTCAATATGATCTGTTCGCTCATCGCTACTTCGGGGAACGCCATTATCATCTTCACTTTCTATAAATCGGACCATTTGCGATCACAATCTCATTTGCTTCTCTGGTGTTTGGCCTTTGCCGATTTCACAACTGGTTTGATTGTTCAGCCATTTTACGGGGCGTACAAGATCGCCCACCTCGCCGGACATAGAGCAACATCGTGCGTGCTGAGGATTATTTTAGAGACGGTAGCGTGGTTTTCGGCTGCCATGTCGTGCGTGTTGTTTGCAACCATCACCGGGGAGCGCTATTTAGCTCTCCACTATCACCTCAGATATCATGAAGTTGTCACCACACGGAAGATTCTAATCTTCATTGCATACCTTGTCATTTCGACAGCGATCCTGAGTCTTTCAAGATTCGCCGTGAATGGTGTCAAACCATTCTTGTATATAAACATCTTCGGGTTGCTTTCGTCTCTTTTCACGCTGTTTATCTGTTACTGGAAAATTTACAAACAGGTTCGCCGACATTTTTGCCAGATTCAAGCTCAGAGCTTGGTTAGACCTGACGGCCGAAGTTTAGATGTGCAACGGTTCAAAAAATCAATCATAAATATGGCATACGTTTCTGTTTTGTATATGGTTTCGTACTTGCCATTTACATGTGTCCTATTCGCATATCTGACTTTTGGTTTCACAAGTAATGTTGAGGCCGCCTATGATATCACCCGCACAATAGCTTTAATGCCATCTTGGTGGAATCCTTTTCTTTATTTCTGGAAAATGCACGAGCTAAGGCAGGCTGTGAGCAATGTTATGAGGCGGGATTCCACGCCCTTTACTGAAGTCATAGAATTGTAAAATATTTCTTTTACTGTGCTTAAAACTGATTGTGAACAGAGACAGTATTTCGCTCAGTGGATCAAGTTATTTCTGGTCTACCAAAGATATTGCTTCGAAACTGTGTACATAGGATTAAAATGCTGAATTAGGTAATATCGTTTTATTTGGACACTAAACAACTTCATTTCGCTGGAAATTCCGTGTGCAACTTTCTGATAAAAAGTTGTGTAATTGTATGTGTAATTAATGCGTCTTTTAAAGTTACGATATTCAGAGTGCAGTTTTCTCTTAGCTATTATTTGATACCGTTTGCTTTTCACGCAATACATGTACGTCAGAGGCGCTTTTGTCTTATGATCAATTAAAAGCATACAGTAGCCTTGAAGGAAGCTGACAAGTTTTTGGCGACTTCAGGCGACTTAAGCAAAATTGGCAGAAAAAACATGGCGACCTTAGGGCTAAACAGCTATACTCTGTCGGTTGAATGCAACCTCTGATTATCAAGTGATGCTACCGATATTCTGAAATATCACATAAATGTCCAGCCATTGATGAACCGACAAAGGCAACAATGCAAGCTGTTAAAAACACTCCAGCAAGCACTTCCAAAAAGTGACCAGGATTATTCCATTGCACGTTGTAGCTATACTGGGAACATACATGTGTCATACTGATGATTCTCAGAGAAAATAAGTCTACCAGGGTCGTAATGTTTGTGCTCGAGAATCTTAAAAGAAACAGCTTTCCTCAAATGCCATTTGTGAAGTTTCTTTTTCTCTTCCTCTTCTCCTGCCTGCAGAGTTAAACTGCCTTACCTGCAAGGAACGCACTGGGTTATCGCCGTGATCAAAGCAACAGTAAAAAAAAACAACTGAAAATCAGTGAAGATAATATGTTAATAGTCATTTTCGTATTCTCGGTCTTGGACTGAAACTAGCTTGCAATGGAGGCTCATGCGGGGAAATATATTTAAAGAGAGATTGATGCTATTTGCATTTGAAAAGACTCCCCGCATTAGCCTCACTTGCAAGCTAGTTCCAGTCCAATACCGAGAATATGAAAATGGTCAATTCCAGCCGCGAGTTCTAACTATTTTCTAGCCTTGAAGGAAGCTGACAAGTTATTACATCCATTAAAGGACTACTCTGGGACCTTAAGTTGCCCTATCTTAAGGCGACTCTGGACGATTTAAGGCGACTTTAGGCGACTTCAGCAAAATTGGCAGAAATAACTTGCGACCTTAGGGCGAATTATGGCGACTTAAGGAGGGTGGCAACAGTTTCCAGCACTTTATGAACAGCTACACTTTGACGGATCGTGAGTGTCTGTTTTCGTTTATTGATATATTTTGATTGCGTTACGTACTTATATGCTGTAATAAACGTTATTTGAAAAATAACAATGTTGCAACATCCCATAACGGCCACCCCGGGGGTCATTAAGGAATAGTTCGACTGTATCCATGTTTGTTGTAATCCTTTATAAAAGTTCCAGGTTTTTGAAATAACAAAACAGGTATAACTAAATCACTCAGTATACATGTCATTTACACTAAGAAAAATAAACAAAATGTCAGTCTACGCTGATTTTCGATGCCATCGAAATTATTGACATTGCATGGTGAATCAAAATCTTATTGCTTTCCTGTAAGTTGTGTTCCTGAAATTATGTTTGATTGTCTTTAGTAGTTTCCAGTGATTTCCTTCGTTTCTACATGATCAGAATAAAATATGATAGCCAAACTCTCGAATGTAAACAAAAACAGAAGTGTGGCTGACTAGGGCCCTTTAAGAAGTTTAAAGGTAGACGCTGAAAAAAAACGCGCAAATGTTCTTCTGAACGTTGGCGCTAAAAGGAAATGGGTGACGATATCAGGCCCTGGGAAAATTTTTCTCGGCCTCGTCGGGATTGAAATCCACGACCTCGACTATCGTTTCGCTAACGACTTAGCTGTGACGCCATAGGTCGCCATACATCCATGCAGGAAATCCTGGGTTCCAATCCTGCAGAGGTCAAAATAATTTTCGGCTCTCGTTCCCTTAATTCTGGAAAGGAAATTTCTGGATTATTTTCCCGCATTTTAAATTAATCTACATTTACTCTCTCTCTCTCTCTCTCTCTCTTTCTAGCTTTCAGAATTAATATTCAGAGTTTTGTTTTTGAAATGAAACTGAATTTGTTTGGATCGGAACTACCACGCTTTTTTTTCCCTCAATAATTTACGATAACTATTTAAAAGATGTTTTCCGAAACCAGCCAGTATGGTGGTCCTATTTACGCGCCGGAGCCACCCCAACTTCGGGACTAAAACATTTCTTGTGAATTTCAAGTGCATGGTTATATATGTACTTTTTTTTTTCTTTTTTTGGCTTATGGCTTTTGGTACAAATATATGTTGCCTTCCGTGCTGTCAAAGAGGTTTTCGGCACAGATACCTGGCTATCAAATAGAGCCACCCGCCGTCCTGATCACACACAGCTGATGAGCATATAATATAACGATCAACAAAGATTACGATTAGTCTAAGCTACATGATATATTCTTATGATANTTTTTTTTTTTTTTTTTTTTTTCTTGGAATTTGACGGTTTTAATATAAGGATATTCCTTGGAAGCGTAACCTGTTTTGTCTTGTCGGTGCTAAGCAACATTTGTTATTTACAACGGATTTTTCACAGTACAATACTGTTTACAAAATACGTGGTGCTACCTGCAATCCGACCTCTATATTCAAAAGCAAGTCACGACTCCGTCGTTATATTTGCATGTACGACAAGTTTTAAGGACGTTCGGGCGATAGATTTTTTTTAAATTTTTGCTGCAGTCAGATAATGAGTTACTCGTGTCAGAAATGCAAACAAATTGGGGGTCCTCGACTTTGGTTCAGAGATAAAGCGTGTGGAAAACTACCCTGATTTTGAAAAATTTGGGCACGTAATTCAGCATGGTCTACAGGTGTTTATAGTTGAAAAATATCGAAGGTGAGTCAACGGAGGCAAACGATCTTCGTCATATTTTGTAGAAGTGGGTCTGTTGCGTAAATAATTCCAAATATTGCCAACGTTTTCACAAAAGTTAACCCTTCAAGAGGCATTTGAAACCACAGCACAGATAAACGACGACTTTAAAAGAATGGAATTCGATGGTGCATTTCGCAAAAAATTCAAACTTCTAATCGATAGATTTTCTTCATTTTTTCGCTAAACGAGAAAATGATCCATCAAAAGAAAAATAGGGGTCACCGAACGTCCGAGATCGTAAAATCTAGGCAAAGCTATAGCAATGGCCATCTGCCCTATCATTGTTCATTTAATTACTTTGCGCGCTTCGATGCAGGACATGGCGTGTGAATTTGCGTGCGCAGTGAGGACGCGCAGAAACAATTTGCGCGAACGTCCTTAAAAACTGTCACATAGCGATTGTTTATAAATTAGAAGCGGGATTTTTCATCACTTATTTGATTAACGATTTTGAATTTTAAGTACATGTAGTTATTGCAATAAAGGGAATCTTGAATTTACTGCCATTCTGTCTCGTTTACATAAAATAAAATGAGGAAACGAGCGACATCATTTTTGTCCTTTACATGTGAACGACTATTTTCATTCTTTTTAATCACCAGTTCAAAATGCCGAAATTACGACTAAACGTTGTTGCATAGAATCTATATTAATCCTTTGTAAATGTTATATTTAAGCTTTGCAGAGATCGTCCCTTTCTTTATTGACATCTCTTTCAAAACATCCCCTGAGTCTAAGTTAATTCGTAAAAGCAATCTCAAAAGATGATCGAGTCGTCTCTTCATTACAGAACTGGCAAATGATACCCACCATGGCGTCCGATCGCTTGGCCCAAATTCAATATTCACTTTTTCTTTTTTAAATTTCGCCAGGCTTGTATGAAAGGAAAATTAATTAAAGCTCGCCATTGTATTGGTTCATCTGACCGGTATTGAAAAATGAAAGCGACATAAAATGATTTCCTAAACAAAAATTTCCGTCACTTTTGGTCGGAATTGTTAGATAAATCATTTCGTACTCCGCCTGAAAGAGTTTCCGGGGCATTTTTTGACAATCTGTTCCTCACTGACAAACAAAGCGACGTACTATTAACGCAAGGTACTGGGAATTACAAGCTGACGCTGCATGGAACTAGAAATGAAAAAATGGAAATGAAAATAAGACCGATATTTGACCCTTATTTACCTCGATGTAGTGAGCGGATAAACGTCGACATTTTAGGCCACAGTAAATACCGTACTCTATCTGTGCCATTCGTTGTACCGGAGAGGGGAATAATTATCACTAAAAGTCAATATTTATTACAGTTGACGACAGCTGCTCCAATAATGCTAATCAACAACAGCGGGGAACAATGCGATTTGTAATTGGATACCTCAGAGAGGAACGCAACTGAGCGAATTTATAACTACAGTTTATACTTCTCTACTGATACAGCAGATGGTTTTATTGTCCATGCTCTAAGGAAGTCGTCAAGTTATATATTGCTTCAAAACATTTCTCAGCTAGAATGAACGACGACGAGTTGTCTGTTTACCAAAACATGACCAGGAATGACAGCGTAGGGTCCATAATCTCAAATCCAAAATGTTTTTATCTTGACCCGCAAAACGACTTTGAACCTGGAGGAGTTCTTTACATCGAGTCCATGGTTACCACAGTGGTCAATATGATCTGTTCGCTCATCGCTACTTCGGGGAACGCCATTATCATCTTCACTTTCTATAAATCGGACCATTTGCGATCACAATCTCATTTGCTTCTCTGGTGTTTGGCCTTTGCCGATTTCACAACTGGTTTGATTGTTCAGCCATTTTACGGGGCGTACAAGATCGCCCACCTCGCCGGACATAGAGCAACATCGTGCGTGCTGAGGATTATTTTAGAGACGGTAGCGTGGTTTTCGGCTGCCATGTCGTGCGTGTTGTTTGCAACCATCACCGGGGAGCGCTATTTAGCTCTCCACTATCACCTCAGATATCATGAAGTTGTCACCACACGGAAGATTCTAATCTTCATTGCATACCTTGTCATTTCGACAGCGATCCTGAGTCTTTCAAGATTCGCCGTGAATGGTGTCAAACCATTCTTGTATATAAACATCTTCGGGTTGCTTTCGTCTCTTTTCACGCTGTTTATCTGTTACTGGAAAATTTACAAACAGGTTCGCCGACATTTTTGCCAGATTCAAGCTCAGAGCTTGGTTAGACCTGACGGCCGAAGTTTAGATGTGCAACGGTTCAAAAAATCAATCATAAATATGGCATACGTTTCTGTTTTGTATATGGTTTCGTACTTGCCATTTACATGTGTCCTATTCGCATATCTGACTTTTGGTTTCACAAGTAATGTTGAGGCCGCCTATGATATCACCCGCACAATAGCTTTAATGCCATCTTGGTGGAATCCTTTTCTTTATTTCTGGAAAATGCACGAGCTAAGGCAGGCTGTGAGCAATGTTATGAGGCGGGATTCCACGCCCTTTACTGAAGTCATAGAATTGTAAAATATTTCTTTTACTGTGCTTAAAACTGATTGTGAACAGAGACAGTATTTCGCTCAGTGGATCAAGTTATTTCTGGTCTACCAAAGATATTGCTTCGAAACTGTGTACATAGGATTAAAATGCTGAATTAGGTAATATCGTTTTATTTGGACACTAAACAACTTCATTTCGCTGGAAATTCCGTGTGCAACTTTCTGATAAAAAGTTGTGTAATTGTATGTGTAATTAATGCGTCTTTTAAAGTTACGATATTCAGAGTGCAGTTTTCTCTTAGCTATTATTTGATACCGTTTGCTTTTCACGCAATACATGTACGTCAGAGGCGCTTTTGTCTTATGATCAATTAAAAGCATACAGTAGCCTTGAAGGAAGCTGACAAGTTTTTGGCGACTTCAGGCGACTTAAGCAAAATTGGCAGAAAAAACATGGCGACCTTAGGGCTAAACAGCTATACTCTGTCGGTTGAATGCAACCTCTGATTATCAAGTGATGCTACCGATATTCTGAAATATCACATAAATGTCCAGCCATTGATGAACCGACAAAGGCAACAATGCAAGCTGTTAAAAACACTCCAGCAAGCACTTCCAAAAAGTGACCAGGATTATTCCATTGCACGTTGTAGCTATACTGGGAACATACATGTGTCATACTGATGATTCTCAGAGAAAATAAGTCTACCAGGGTCGTAATGTTTGTGCTCGAGAATCTTAAAAGAAACAGCTTTCCTCAAATGCCATTTGTGAAGTTTCTTTTTCTCTTCCTCTTCTCCTGCCTGCAGAGTTAAACTGCCTTACCTGCAAGGAACGCACTGGGTTATCGCCGTGATCAAAGCAACAGTAAAAAAAAACAACTGAAAATCAGTGAAGATAATATGTTAATAGTCATTTTCGTATTCTCGGTCTTGGACTGAAACTAGCTTGCAATGGAGGCTCATGCGGGGAAATATATTTAAAGAGAGATTGATGCTATTTGCATTTGAAAAGACTCCCCGCATTAGCCTCACTTGCAAGCTAGTTCCAGTCCAATACCGAGAATATGAAAATGGTCAATTCCAGCCGCGAGTTCTAACTATTTTCTAGCCTTGAAGGAAGCTGACAAGTTATTACATCCATTAAAGGACTACTCTGGGACCTTAAGTCGCCCTATCTTAAGGCGACTCTGGACGATTTAAGGCGACTTTAGGCGACTTCAGCAAAATTGGCAGAAATAACTTGCGACCTTAGGGCGAATTATGGCGACTTAAGGAGGGTGGCAACAGTTTCCAGCACTTTATGAACAGCTACACTTTGACGGATCGTGAGTGTCTGTTTTCGTTTATTGATATATTTTGATTGCGTTACGTACTTATATGCTGTAATAAACGTTATTTGAAAAATAACAATGTTGCAACATCCCATAACGGCCACCCCGGGGGTCATTAAGGAATAGTTCGACTGTATCCATGTTTGTCGTAATCCTTTATAAAAGTTCCAGGTTTTTGAAATAACAAAACAGGTATAACTAAATCACTCAGTATACATGTCATTTACACTAAGAAAAATAAACAAAATGTCAGTCTACGCTGATTTTCGATGCCATCGAAATTATTGACATTGCATGGTGAATCAAAATCTTATTGCTTTCCTTTAAGTTGTGTTCCTGAAATTATGTTTGATTGTCTTTAGTAGTTTCCAGTGATTTCCTTTGTTTCTACATGATCAGAATAAAATATGATAGCCAAACTCTCGTTTGTAAACAAAAACAGAAGTGTGGCTGACTAGGGCCCTTTAAGAAGTTTAAAGGTAGACGCTGAAAAAAAACGCGCAAATGTTCTTCTGAACGTTGGCGCTAAAAGGAAATGGGTGACGATATCAGGCCCTGGGAAAATTTTTCTCGGCCTCGTCGGGATTGAAATCCACGACCTCGACTATCGTTTCGCTAACGACTTAGCTGTGACGCCATAGGTCGCCATACATCCATGCAGGAAATCCTGGGTTCCAATCCTGCAGAGGTCAAAATAATTTTCGGCTCTCGTTCCCTTAATTCTGGAAAGGAAATTTCTGGATTATTTTCCCGCATTTTAAATTAATCTACATTTACTCTCTCTCTCTCTCTTTCTTTCTAGCTTTCAGAATTAATATTCAGAGTTTTGTTTTTGAAATGAAACTGAATTTGTTTGGATCGGAACTACCACGCTTTTTTTTCCCTCAATAATTTACGATAACTATTTAAAAGATGTTTTCCGAAACCAGCCAGTATGGTGGTCCTATTTACGCGCCGGAGCCACCCCAACTTCGGGACTAAAACATTTCTTGTGAATTTCAAGTGCATGGTTATATATGTACTTTTTTTTTTCTTTTTTTGGCTTATGGCTTTTGGTACAAATATATGTTGCCTTCCGTGCTGTCAAAGAGGTTTTCGGCACAGATACCTGGCTATCAAATAGAGCCACCCGCCGTCCTGATCACACACAGCTGATGAGCATATAATATAACGATCAACAAAGATTACGATTAGTCTAAGCTACATGATATATTCTTATGATAATGTGCTGTTAAATTATTCAATCATTTCGCTTGAAACGTCTTAGTCGCCGGTCAAAACAATCTTCAAACTCTTGGCAGTAAATTTGTTTTATCTTATTTCGCTGTTTTTGAGCTCCTCAAACTTTTGATCAATGGCTTTTCGTCTAGAGAGGTTACTCAAAGTGAAAATCTTGGTTGTTATCTCTCGTTACTAGAACACTAATGCGACAAATGGTGCCACGATACTAGACTAAAATATTCGGGTCCACTTATATGGTAGTAATAATATTCATTACTTATATTGCGCTTTTTTTTCTACGAAAATAATCAAAAGTGCATTACTAGATTCTTAATAGATTCTTAAAAGTCACGATTTGAGAGTAAAACTACCGACTTATCTTAAGAATTAAGACCTAAAAATTCTATCATGAATTTAAATATTAAGCTTAAAATCTCAACAAAAAGCGTTATAGAGAATAAATAAGTCTTGATTAAACGCTAACTCGAAGTGCCAATGTTTCTATAACTTGCCTTACTGACAGAGGAAGGCTCTTCCACAAGAACGATCTCCTAGGGTCTCGTTCTGAGCTGCGAAATTACACACATACTAGCTCAATAAGGATAATTGAAAAGCCCTCCCAAATTGGAATAAACATTTTTCTTTTAGATTTGTTTTATGGCATGAGGCTATTCGTAAAGGATTGTTGACGATACCTATGACATTTCTACTACTGTGATAATTGTTTGCCTCTTAAAAATCTTCTTTACTGCTTCCCTAACGTCAGCCATTTTCCAGCAGTATAGAAAAGGATTCCAAGAGGCCGGCATGAATGCAATAGTCTTTGTAATGTCATATGCAACTTCGATATTTACTGTGAAGCTGTGCCATAAATATGCTACTAATACACAAGTAAAAGGTAAATATGCTATCATGAACAATGAAGCAACAACAGCCATTCTTAATGCAGACTTCCTTAGACTTATCAGATCTGGAGTATTTTGTTGTGCTTGGATAACATTCTGTCCTTGTATCTGGCGATGATGACGCCGGGCCAATGAATATATTTTCCAATCGGAAATCAATAGCGCTAGAGTTGCCGAGAACAAGCTGACGACGGTCGCAACCAAAAAGGGCTTGCTGTCTTCCATTGCAAATCTAGAAACGGTGAAACTCCCAAACAACACCAGATGAAACACAATAAATGCCAAAATCCGTGTTTTGGTGATCACCTCGTGATAGCGAAGATGAAAATGCAAAGCAAAGTATCTCTCCTGGGTAATTGCCACGAACATTGAACATGAAACTGCCGCAGAGAACCACGAAACAGTTTCCACGATGATCCTGAAGTGGCAAGATAAAGAGGTTTGCTCCAATTGATGGGTAATCTTGTAAGCTGCGTAAAATGGTTGAACGATAAAACCGGTGAGGAAATCAGCAAATGTTAAACATACCAGGAGCAGATGAGAGGGGGATCGCAAGTGATTTATTTTCAAAAAAGTGACCAAGATTATTCCATTGCCCGCTGTAGCTATTACCGAACATATGATATTGATGACGATTGTAGCTAAGTTCTCAATGAAAATAAGTCTTCCAGGGTCGTTGTGAGAGTCTAAAAAGAAGCACCTCTCCTCAACTGCCATCTTAGAAGTTTGCTTCCTTCATCCTCTTTTCCTGTTTGCCTGCAGCGTTAAGCCGCCTCATTCAGAAGGAACACACTGCTTCATCGTTGTGATTAAAGCGGCAGGAAAAACAAAACAAAACAATGGAAAAACCAATTGAAAATAATATGTTAATTCCAGCCGCTAGCTCTGAGTATATTATAGCTTAATTGATATGCTATTGTAATTCATTTCAGTGTATAGTTTCATGGAATACCATTTCGATTCCAAATACCACTAATAGATGAGAATAACAACATATTATTTTCGAATCGAAAAAATGTTTCATCTAAACAGAACAGGGGTCCTAATATAAACAATTTTGACAAACCGCTGGAAAAGAAAACATCTTCGAACTCGAATGAATTCTACCCACGGTTTCTTTAGAGCTTCCTGTCCGGCAGGTGTTACGTCAAGCTTCAGCACAAGAGAGCTATTGATTTTAACAGCAGTTTTCTTGGGATCTCACAATCAGTATTCAATGTAAATAATTGCAAACAAT